TCCACAAACAGTTTAGCACCATATTGATAGGTCATGTAGCAAAACCCTCTCCTCAGGGTTTGCTTGGGAGTTAAAAGCATGAAATATTACAGTGCAAGGTCGTCTATACCCTTAGCTTCTATAGGGGCAAGGTGGCAAAGGTGATGCTGTCTCAGAGGTAAGTGTTGGCCAGCCCCTGGCTCTATGTCCCTATTGTCGTCACCACGCCAGGGTTGATGGTACCTGGTGGAGAAAGAAGGAATAAATAAGGTTCTGATGCAGGATACTGAGGGAAGATAAACGAGGTGATTGTCAGGAGTCCAACCCCACGCAGCAGAGTGGGAATGCCAGGGATTTGTCTGAGTCCCCCTTACCAGAGATGCAGAGTTTTTCACATTCTTTCTGCGTGTTGAACCTGTTCTCGTTGCCGCCGCAGCCGCCGTACCAGAAGCGGGCGCAGCTCTTGGTCTCGGGGTCGTAGTACCACTTCAGCACAAAGTTCCTGCAGGTGCCCTCATCCTTCTGCAGCCGGCAGATGTCCATCACTGTGGACAAAACAGGAGCAACAGCGGTCAGTAGCACTCCTGGGTGAAGCACAGCCTTTTCTGAGTGTATCTGCAGGGCAGGGCTGGAATGCAAGCTGAGAAAGGGCATCCACAGCACACATTGTGCACATCTCTTGTGACTGAATCCTATCTCCTTCTCTGCAAAGACAACCTCTTTCCCTGGAGGTCACCACCCTGGTGCACAAGTTTGTCTCCTGTGTTGCTGCCATGCATCCAGGAGGGATGAAGGAAGAGTGCTGCATGACAGTGGTTGTCTGCAAATCCCTTGGATCTGGAGGATATGAGTTTGGCAGGTCTCAGAACTGGGAGAGGACTGGCTGGGCTGCAAGGGAAGAAGTACTGGCACCACTAAGATGATTGACTTAATCTGAAAAGCGAAATCTCCCATGTGAAGATGCTCCTGGGTCCACCACACACTGCCCATGGCATTTTGCATCCCTTGCTGGGTGAGCAATTTATCTATCACAAGCAGGGAACAAAACAACAAAGCACTTGGAAGTGGCAAAATGAAATTGCCAAATCGTTTCTTAAAAATAAAACTAAAAAAACATCTGATGTCAGCCATTGATTTGCTATCAGGTCACACACCTCCCTTCACACAGGGATGCAGAAGGAGCTCATGCCACCTCTGCTCAGCACAGCATAAACACCACAGATCAGGGGGAGTCAGAAATCAGTGTTGACCTTGCAGTTCAGCTTTGCTTTTGAGCTCCTACAGCCAAAAGCTTCCCCATGCCTTAGGCAGACTCTTTGCCTTTCTTATATTCATATTTTCTTTTTCCAAAGCCCATCTCCCTTCTTCCCCACCTTCCAAAACACTGAAATCCAGCAGATGTGAACACAGGAATGACTCTACCCCGAACCTTGCACAGGAAATCCAAACACTAATCAAAACAGAAGAATTTCTTTTGCATATATAACCTAATTTTCCCCTATTTCAGTCTGAAATTAAACAAAAGCTTACCTAAAAATTTCCAAGAATTGATAGAGAGCAAGAACTAGAGAGTTAAAATGTGTTTTAAGCTGTTGAAAAGATGGGAAGAGAGGGTTTTAAGTCATCCCCTGGAGAAAATGTGCCTCAGTTACGCTTAGGAGTTACTTTTGTCATGCTAAAAAAGTTAATGACAATAAAAAAAAAATAAAGCCATAGAATCATCAAGGTTGGAAAAGTCCTCTAAGACCCTTAAGCCCAACCATTACCTCAGCACTGCCAAGTTCGCCGCTAAACCACGCTTCAAATTCCACATCTACACATGATAAATTATATAAAAAGTCCAAAATCAAAGGGGATCACATCATTTAAAAGGTTTCAAAAAGGAAGTGGGTCTGGTGCATGGTTTTGCACCCAAAGTGCCTTAAAGTCTGGGGTCTCAACTCATTTCTCAGTGTTGCACCTGCTATGGGCTGAGCCCAGAGCCTGAGCCACCACCTAGCACCCCAAAATCTGAGATGCACTGAACTCATGTGGCCATTTTCCACGTGGATTCAAGCTCTGGCTTTGCAGAAAATGGAAAGGGAATAAAGCAAGCAGAGCACAGTGGGCAGAGACCTGAACATCCCTCCAGGGCCCCTCAGCTGCTTTTCTTGACTCTGTGCCCAGGGCAGAGTGGTGCCAAGTTGATGAAATATCGCTTTAGCCTCAGAAACAGTTGCTGGAAACATCATAAAGGCATGTGACAATGAATAGAAGGGACTGGCCTGTGGGACAGGGCTGGCAGAAACAC